TAACCAATCGGAAATAAATAGAAAATTTGAATTTTATAGCCAAATTACTTTCAAACAGAAGTGAATTACTGCAATTTCATATTTGCAGTTTTTATTTTTATTGGTTTTGATTTTTAGAAAATTTCATGGATATTTATATTTTTCTTCAATCAGTTTTTGTTATAAATATTTTTCAAAAAAATTAATCAGTTTAACATTAAGTATGAACAGTCAACAGTTTTCATATTAAATGTGAAGAATAAAATATGTTTGATCATAATTCGAAGTTTAGACTATTTACAAAAAGTCAAAATAATTTTTGAGTCTATCTTTATCCTTTTTTACACTACCACAGAAGTAACAGTCTTAAAAAATTTGCTTTGAAGAACTCTTCTTAAAACATAGGTAAAAATTGGTAAAAAAACTTCACAAGGTTAAAAAAGATCTTGAAGTTTTTTTACCAATTTTTACCTATGTTTTAAGAAGAGTTCTTCAAAGCAAATTTTTTAAGACTGTTACTTCTGTGGTAGTGTAAAAAAGGATAAAGATAGACTCAAAAGTTATTTTGACTTTTTGTAAATAGTCTAAACTTCGAATTATGAAGAAATACATCCTGAGTTATTACAAAAATTGTAATAAAATATGTTTAACTCAATCATTTTTTATCTTTTTTAAAATATTTGATTATTTAAATAAATTTATTCAGCAACAACACTTTAAAAATATTGTTTAATTATATATTCAAACAAGGTATTGTTTTGAGAAGTATATATTTAAATAAGTTAGAAAATATATTAATATATACTTCATACTGCCACCATCAGCATTTGGCATGCTCTGTCAGTGGACATGAGGCTTTTCCCTTTTGTCAGAATTTTTAAAGAATTTGATATCACATAAACGTTTCATTTAATGAATCTAATACCAATATACAGTATATACTGACGATATTGTATGCATTTTATTATGAACAACTGAAGTGAACTAGAACGACATTCTTAGATTCATTCAATTAGGGAAGAACCAAAATTGATATTTATATGATATGATATATATATATATATAATCATATAAAATTGAGATTATATATATAGAGATTATAACTAATGTATATAAATGATATACAAACATCTTTGAATACTGTCTCTAGTGATGTTTAATTCTGATAGTTTTCAAATATGCTGAAAGTTAGTATGTTTATTTGCCAGAGTTGAATGAAATTTTTTTAAACTTTTTTTTTTAAGAATCCTTAGAATTCATTCAATGCTCAGAAATATTAAAAATTGGCTAATAATATAGTTTACTTTTAAAAAATTTGAAGTTTTATTTAAGAAGTTACTTTGCAATAAAAATATATACTGTATATGCTCTCCAAGATAGAATTGCAAAATCCATAATGCATTCAGAAAGAATGAATTATTATGAAATCTTTAATGAAATGTGAATAAAAATATTCAAAAAAATTTAAACTTTTTTTTATAAGTACAGTAGAGTCCCAAAAACTCGGCCTAATGTGGACTGAAGGGTGGCCGAGTTTGTGAAAATGCCGGGTTATCAGGAATGGAGTTAAAAAAGAATAAGAATGAGTGTTTCCTCAGAAAATACTGTTCTGTACTTGTATGCATTGTTTGCTTGAGAATACAACAGAGAATAAATTGACCAAATACCCTTAAACAAAGGAAAAGTACAAACTTTATGAAGACATAGAGCCTTTACTACATGAAAATGAAAATTAATGAATATACAGTGTACAGTAATTTACCTGATAAGACAGACCTCAGAAAAATACTTTATGAGGCATAAAGCTGTCTATAATGAAAATTAACTAGGGGTTTTTTCGCCCTGCCAGGGTGTGGGCGAGTTATCCAGACTGCCGGGTTATCGAGTGCAGAGTTTTCGGGACTCTACTGTATTTATAAAAACATTTGGTCACTTATGTTCTGATATTATATTCGTCACTTGTTTTGAATCAATTTGAGAATTTGACAATTTAAATAAATAAATAATCGACTTTTAAGAAATTTAATTCATTTTTTTACTTATGAATGAAAAATGTTTTGTTTCTAAATATTTTAGAACATAAACACTGCACATATAGGCATAACCAATATCCAATAAGATTAAATTACAGGAAAAGAAACATTTTCAATCATGTTTAACAGACATTGTCAGGTTAACTGATGATGTTAGCCTTATAATGTCCAGTAGTCTGACAGAATGGCCATTAAACATGGTTGAAAACATTTGGTTTCTTGTAATTTCTTCTTGCTGGATATTGGTTATATGTGGAGTGTTTATTAATGTACTCACAGTTTTGAATAGCTGAATTTATAATATAGAATTAACTTTTTCAAGCATTTCAAATAATTTTATATTCTGCAAAGATAAAAACAAAACAAATAAAAAATACAAAAAATAGATATCTTAAATAACAGTTTGTTACACAGGTCTTGTTACTATGTGGAAAATAAAAAAGTTCCCCATATTAGTGTTCTAAATTATGGTTCACTGAGATATCTAGCTGTACTTTTCCATAATTTAGTTCTTAAATAAAAGATTTCTAATAGTGTAAACCAAAGATTGGAATGTTTTGTGATTATGAATAAAACTGCATAATTTATTATAGAGAATCCATATAATTTCAATCGATCAAAAATTCAATCAAAAAAGATTGATCTATAATCGGTTGCAATGTTTGCAATGTGATGCCTTCCCAATATGAAGAAAAATATTGCAATATAATTTAAATCACATAATTTCAAACCATAATTCCTAAATATTCTTTTCATTAAAAATCTGACAATAATAATAAAATCTGTATTATACTTAATATCACTCAGTTTTACATTAAATGACCCTTAATAATAATAAAATATACCTCAAATCATCTAGTTAAGTACATCTTCATAAACATCAGAAAATCCAGTAAATATATACAGTTTATCTTATTAAACTGTGTATGTTTGATGGATTTTCTGGTGTTTGTAAAGGTTTAATAGTTAATTTTTTAATTATAAATTATTCAAACATTTCATATGATGATCATGGCAATGATGAAATATATTGCATTTATAGCAAGCATAGCAAAATATATTGAATTCAAAATAATAGAAAATTATTAAAGAAAAATATATTCAAATAAAGAATTTTGAGCTTATTTTTAGATTATCATTAAAAGCATAATTTATTAATAACTATTATTTTCTGAATTATTTTAAAAATAAACTTGTTTTAACATTAAGATTACCTCCACGTGATGGTTGTTCTTCACATAATCCTTCTCCACTAGAATCTGTTGTGATAATTTCTGGTTGCCTTGATATAGCCATTTTAAATGACCATAACAGCAGTCAATGAATGACTCTGCAGATAAGTGTAAAGAAGGATAACTAAGAAAGCAAGCAAAATAAAATTAAAAAATTAATAGAAATTAACTACTATTTTGAAAGGGATTTTGTAGTTAACAATATGAAAAATAATTCTAAAATTAAAAAAATATACATAAAAATCATTTTGATAATTTCTTGATACAACAGCATTATGTTAAATGAAAAATGATTTATTAATAGATAATAAAATTACTTTGTATTAGATAATGGGTAATTGATAGTAATTTACTTCATTTATAAAATTATATCATAATACTTCATTTGAATTATATTGATAAATCAATATTACTTTTATTAGCTCTGCTATTAGATTAATCAATATAATGTAATTATAATGGAATGAATAGAATGGAATTTATTCATTCTAATTAAAACTTATTAATATTGATCATTAAAGTATCTGAATTTATGCTGAATTAAAAAATTGGATATTTATAACAAATATTACAAATTCNAACTAAGAAAGCAAGCAAAATAAAATTAAAAAATTAATAGAAATTAACTACTATTTTGAAAGGGATTTTGTAGTTAACAATATGAAAAATAATTCTAAAATTAAAAAAATATACATAAAAATCATTTTGATAATTTCTTGATACAACAGCATTATGTTAAATGAAAAATGATTTATTAATAGATAATAAAATTACTTTGTATTAGATAATGGGTAATTGATAGTAATTTACTTCATTTATAAAATTATATCATAATACTTCATTTGAATTATATTGATAAATCAATATTACTTTTATTAGCTCTGCTATTAGATTAATCAATATAATGTAATTATAATGGAATGAATAGAATGGAATTTATTCATTCTAATTAAAACTTATTAATATTGATCATTAAAGTATCTGAATTTATGCTGAATTAAAAAATTGGATATTTATAACAAATATTACAAATTCAAATTTAATCAATTAGTTAATGTGAAAGTCTATACTCTATTTTGAGATTTTAAAAATAGTACAGCTTAGGACAGCATCAGAAAAAAAATATCTTGTTACTAGTTAGTTATATATCAAAATTATATTATTTTTGAAAGAATTAATATTTATTAAGTTACATGCAACATAATAATCCTTTACTTGTAAAGAATATTTTTAAAAATGTTAAATCTTTAGAAGTTCTAATTCTATTATTAGAAACATTAAAATTTATGAAAATGAATAAATTTTTATATTTAGAATTCATCAATGCTATATAAATAAAATTGTTTACTGTAAGATGATTTACGTATAAAATGTAAAAATCAATTACATCAAAATCAAAAACAAAGTTACTTTTAATTAATAATAAAGTGTTTTAGCTAAAACAGATTAAAATTCAAATAGCAGCAGGTTGTTAATCAAAACTTATCAATATTAATTAGAAAAGCAAAAGTCTAAATTTTACAAATTTTGATTTTAAACATTTTTATAATGTTCCCTATTTAAAAAAGAAAAATAATAATAATAAATAACTCATTTGCATGTTTTATTGTAATAATACTTTTTCATTTAATGCTGCTTTTATATCAGATTGTATGTTAAAAACAAATTTTGATGTGAGCACTCATGTCCAAAAAAAATAAACACAGCCATTTATTTGGCCTATATCTCAGGAACTACTATAAAAAACAACGTGAAACTTAATACAGTATTCTGCTTGTATGTTCTTTATGCAACAAAACAATTGAAAAACAAAAAGTTTAATCTAAATTAGTTCAATCCAGAAAGAAGAAATAGTATTAAGCATTTGTCAAAATCTTTTGCACTGAAAATGATTAACAAGGGATGTGGTTGCCTCCTTCATACAGACAAACTGCACAGCAATTGCTCATGCTGCTTATAACATTGCTTATGCACTCCATTGGGAGCTAAATCTATTATTGAATAAGATCATCTTGAAATTTCTGAAGTGCTCTTGATGGAGGCTGATTGGATGCAACTCATCTGTCTAGAACATCCCACTTTTTGGTAATGGCATTCCTTAAAAAAATCTGAAGCTCAGTAAAGCTGTTAAATGTAAATGTCACCATCTCAAACTGGTTTCTTTTCACAATATTCATGGGATTATATTGGCTTCTTTGATATCCATATTTTAATGTGATGAGAATTGTTCTTTAGACTGCACCTGGATTCAATGAACAGAACATTGCCTCATTCATCCAAAGTCCAATGTTGATGTTCTTGACACCATCATAAAATGGACTCTTCCGTGAACAGAGTCAAATGGAAATGCAAAATTATTGCAACAAACTGCTAGTGTGAAATTCGACATACTGTGATCTGACAAAAAGACTATTTGCCTGAAGTCTCTTGTAGATCGTTTGTTGTAAAAGTCTTACACTGATTGCTGAAAACACTTCTTCTAGAGTCATCTACTAGACAGACATTCTTCTGTTATGATGTGCATTCTGTTAACATCAGTTAGGAGTCCTGTTGAGGGATGGTAATTATTGGATATTCACTTCCTGTTTGGCATACATCTCTTTCTTTGAAATCAGACCCAAAGTCTGGATGTGATCTGTGGCACATCCAGAGTCCTGGAAACATCTGTCTGCAACTGGCCTGCTTTTAGCCTTCCAATAATTCTTTTAATAAAATTGTCTAAGTGGCATTTTTCTGGCATTATCACTATCAGTAGCATACAGTAAAATAGCAGCAAACTGTCCTTAATGGTTAAACTACAGCAGAAATAATGCTATGCTACTGCTGTATTTATGGGCCCTGTGTATTTTGCATAAATTTATGGTTTTTAATGAAATATTCAACTACATCCTGGGTATTTTTATTGTCTAGAAATGTTAACATAAAATTTCCACTGTTTATTTTGTTTATTTTTTGATCTATCTGATGATTGGACAATTATACTTATTTTTTGAACATGTGTAATATACATTCAATACTGTGTTAAAATGCAAAAATATTTGCATAGTTTTAAAAAATTTAAACAATTCATCAGTTTTATTTTCCTGAATAAAATTACTACATCTATTTTAAATTATGTACAAGATGAGCCATTAATATGTGCATTATAATTTATTATTATTAATTAAAGGTAGCCAAAGATAAACTTCTAATTTAGGAAATTAATTAAAGAGTTAAGGGTTAATTCATAGTTTGTTTAGTTTTAAATTTCAAACAGATTAGATCATCTCCTAAATTATACTAGATTAGTATATTGAGTTTAATAACAAGCAAACAGGATGGATTGTCTATCATCAAAAATACAATTTTTATTACTGATTCATATTGTCAGCCTTAAAATTTGTTATGCTATGAAATAATTTCTAAAATTAAATTTTATAAAAATATGAGTTTTGCAAATAAATTTTTTGTCAAAAGCATTTAACATTTTTACTTATATCAACAAGAATTAAAATGAAATTTATTTTAAATTTTATTATTTTTGCTTTTACTTTCATTATACTTTCCTTTTAATCTTTATTATTATTCTAAATATAAATAAATAAAAAGAATAAATTATTTCAAAGAAAGTTTCTTTTTTGTAAAAGTCAGATTTTATAAACTAATTTCACTTGAAAAATTTATTACATCAAGATGGATTAACTTTTGTTCTTTTGAACTTTCCATAAATAAAGTTTTATTAAATTCTGTTGCTCTATAAATAAATAAATCTAGTAATATATATATATACATATATATCATTTATTTATAAAATAATAAAGCATGTAAATTTCCAAGAAATTGATTTTATAAAATTGTTTGTATTTTCTAAGGAAAAGTAAATCAAGAATAAATTCAAATTTTAATTCTAAAAAATTAGTTTAGAAAGTGAATCTCAAATATAATTTTATAAATTAATTTAATACACTAAATTAAATTACACTTTATAACAAAAAAATAACATATTAATAAGTAATGAAATTTTGTTTAATTATAATTCAGATTAATAACAAAGAGAAAATTTAAAGTATTCTCTGCAGAGATAGGATAGAAAGTCCATTAACTTAGATAAGAGCATTTGGCATGCATCTGAAAGATAGGATTTAATTTCTATCAGTAAGACCAAACACATTTTTAATTTAAACAAACTCAAGTGTTGTGGTGTGTATGCATGCACTGTATATAATTAACATTACATTAGTATTGTATTATATGATTAAATTGCCATATTGCTTTAAATTGAATTATTTTCTATCTCAATTCATCCAAAATATTACTATTAAGTAGCAAACTTGCTAATTATATAAAGCAATAAAAGTAACTTATTCATATTTAAATAAATATGATATTTAGTCTACATCAATCCTATCATTCCTGATTACAATAATGTTAAATGTTGAAAAAATTAAAAGAATATTACTGTGTATGAAATATCAGAATATCATTGAATAACTCTTCAGACTTAATTTACAGGAATCAGCAGATTTATATTTTTATTTAAGAAATTTAATAAAACTAATAAGTCTTGGAAAATTCAAAGTACTTTTTTTTATCATTATTCTAAACTAATTTGAAGAGTTACTTGCAGAAAAGNATATACAACAATTTATTTCATATTTTATAAGTTATAACAAACAAACATTTGGCCATCTAATTGAATTTTATTCAAAAGTGTAGGAAGTTTTTTCTTTTCATGAATAATGCACAAGATATTCAATAGTATGATGGTATTTTAAGATGATATTTTAGAAAAGTCAACTTCGTCAAAAATGCTTCTTTAATATTCAACATTATCATATTTCAATATTAATCGACAAAACTTAAATACTCAAAATTTTGCAAAAAAACAATTTAGCCTTTATTTTTTAAAATACTACTTTATATTTTTCTTCTTTATTTATTTTATTTATAAGTTAAAATAATAAATATGTATAATATATAAATTTATTTCTCAATTTCCTTTAAAATTATAATTAACTTTTCTTGAGTTATCGTCTAATAAAATAAATTTTTCATTTATTCCAAATACATTAATTTTTCTCATGGAAAAAACAGTTGATATTTTAAACTGTATAAAGCAAATAGAAAATTGGGAGCACCATCTAAATACACTCGACCTACCTATAATAACGGGCGACTATACGTAATATATTAACCATAAAATAAAATTTTGTCAGATATTGGGAAAATATCTAGATTAAGCATTACAAATTAGCATTACTCTTATATTCGAGGAACTGAATAGGACGGTGTGTATCCACGTGAATGGTATCTACGTGCAGAAAGAGAATGGAGAACAGGGATCGATAGAGGCAGGACATTTGTGTTCAAGGTCGGGATCAAAACATTACAAGAGGAATATGGAGGAATAAAAATCGATAAGTTTCGGTGTATATTTCGTTTATAACAATTTTAATAGAGTTTTGTCACGTTTCAAATCCCCGTAATATATTTACGTCTTCTTTATGATGTGAGAATAAACATAAAACATAATCTAACATGAGGGTTGTATTGTTCCAAGGACACGTTGTTTGCTGAGATCTCTAACGGTTTTAAATGCTAAGCAAATTGTATTGACTAAGGTTCCGAAGAATAATAACTGCAGCAGCTGGCAAGTGTATGTTTATCAAAAAAAGAATTATTTAATTCAATTGAATTTTATGACGTATACTGAGTCAGTAATTTAAAACCTTCCATAATCTGCATCGACTCCCGAAAAACGTTTCCCGTTAAATTTTAATAGCAAATTTGCAAAATTAATATACTTGTTTCGAATCAATTACGTCTATTAAAATTTCCACGTATCTCAAAGTGATGCATGCTAGAGAAACATTATCATCATGAGACTGATCCTGTAGAGTATATTTTTACTCATTTACAGCTTGTTTAGATGAGTAAAATACATTTAAATATTTCTAAAATATATTTAAACGAATATCTGGAAACAAGTCTTACTAATTTGTTTATAATTCTTTTTTTTATATTCTCTTTGAAAAGTTCTTTTAGCCAAATCATTAAAATTAAATAGGATCTCCATTTTTTAATGTAAAATTGAAATATAAATCCTGTATTTATTTATTTATTTATTCCAGCAAAACTAAAAGCTTCATTACTACGATTTTAAAGTTATGTTTTATACATTGCATTAATGTATTAGGATATATTTAAATATTAAATTCTCATATCTTTCCAGTTCTTAAATTTTACACGAATCGTTATACTCATAAATAATTCCAAAAATATCACAATAGATCTTTTATAAAGCAAAAATTTCATCATCATGATTAATCATTATTTAATCAGGAGTTTGAAAACTAAAAATAAATTTATTGTTAAATTTCCGTGTTTTTTGAGCTTTTTTAGTATATGTACATTTTTTATATAAAACACATTTTCCAATAATTATTTTCGATTTTTTTTATAAGTTTATTCATATTAATAGACTCCAGATTATTCAATGGAGAGAAGCCAATAGGGATAAATTCGGAAGTTTCCTCATCTAACTCTATATTTTTGCATAAATTTTCATAAAATATTTTACGAAAGGCATTATCAATTTTGCTTTTTTAAATCCATTATAGTTTATAACTATGATAAGGGGGAGAAATCTACACTTTGTTATAATTTTGTAAAATCGAATAAATTTAGATAATTTATTTCCAAACTAAGGGAAAAAAAGTAAACTTATTAATCCACCACAGATAAAAATATCAAAATCGTACAAAGCTATACCACCACAACTTTCGCTTTTTTTTCCAACTATTTCTTATATAATTATAAAAAGTTAACAAATTAGGAATCAATATTAAACTGCCGACTGTCGCAATCGTTAAGTATCGTTATCAATAATTGAGCAGCGCATTTAGCCGGTTTTAATGAATAGCCGCTCATGGATCGGTGACAGTTCTTCTGCATCCAAGTGTAAAAGTAAAACTTGCTCCACTAACCACCAATCCCAACGAGTCGAGTCCACCCATATGTACTGTACCGAGTACAGAGTCCACCAGAATAATAGGTCTATTTGATATAGTGTAATTACAAAATATTGTGTCGTTCTAACGTTAAAAAAAAACCATAATGAGAGTTTAAAAAATGCCAAGGATGAAGAGTTTCTGGTCCCCCCTTTTTTTTATATTTTAACGAATGTTTACAATAAGAATTCATTTTTACACACAAGTAAAAATTTCGTTATTATTCGCTACCAGCGAAATGTAACATAGAAACTTCCGTCTCTGATTATACTTTGTAGCAGAGATAATTATCATATATTTAAAATAGAACCTAACGACACAAGTGATGTCGAAAGTAAATTAAAAAAAAAAAAAAAAAAGTGGTTTCCTTTGGTTGATACAAATTAATAAAATTACCTGCAAACACCGCAAAAGAATATAATTTAGTTGTATTATTATTTCGCTTAATCAAGTAATAAGTGATAAGATAATCTCATTATAACTCTATTAAATATTAAATTACTTACTTTATTATTATATTTTACTTGCAGAATCATCTTTCTTCTATATCTTGGTAACGCACAAATTATATTTAATCTATAATAATAAAATTAAAAATTTTATCTTATATCATTGACTATATTAATATAAATTTAAAAAAATCGAATTTTCTTTCGATTAATGTTAAATTTGTAATATCTTCCACCTTTATATAATTCTAAAATCAGTTTATTTTTAGAAAAAAAAATCAATTGGAAGATAGAAAACTTGCTGTATTTTAAAATCTTTAAGGAATTACATAGATAATAGGCTACCTTCAAAAATATATCCACGACAATGAATTGTGAAATAAAATAATATACCAAAATTTATAGTCTATTTTTTACACGCATATTTCTGATATTGGCATTGATTTCCTTGTATACAAACCTTATTTTTTTATTTTTTGAATATTACACAATGCGGAATTGCTTTAAATTGTGGACCATAATTTAAGAGGCGCCTAAATCCACGATACTATTTTAAAGCAAACATTATCGGTATACAGTCCAATGAACAGTTAAGCCAACATCAATGATGTATATCAAAACAAAAGAGGAGGAATGCATTGTCACGTGCACGAAACTCGGTCGAAATAAGTCATTGGTTTCGCCCAGTTACCTTTTTTGGTCATTTCGACACCCGAAATCTCGAGAGATTAATTCTGTCGGAACAATCTCCTCCGACATGTTTAAACACACACGAAGTCGCAATAATTCCAGTACGGGAGGAACCGGGACTCGCATTCCTATCTGACCTAGACGGGCCAGTTTTTCATGCAATTTTTATACCTTTAACCCATTACGTATTCTAGTCGAAGTCGGCCGATTTCGTCATCGCTCTGTTTCTATAAATATTATAAACCATTCTTTCAACGTTCGAAAATTAAAGCTGTGTATTATATACATTATCTTTAAACACAGGCTAAATAGGGCCTACATAAATATATATAATTTTATACATAGAAAAATTAATTGAAATTTTCATATTTAAATATATCCTTTATTTATATTTATATTTTACGGAATGAATAGAAGTTTAAATTTAAATTTACGGGATTTTATTTTCTTAATATTCTTACTAACGCGATAATTAGGTAACCACATACGCTGTAATAATATACAGAACCGTCCAGTATATTTTGATGGATCATAAAAAAGAATATTAAACTATAAAACATTTTATTTCACGAAAATTAATTGTAGTTTAGGACTACATAAGTTTAAACCCATTTAAATTTTTATAGCGAATATATATTATAATACAGTATAATGAATAAATGCATATGATATTGTATGAAGGTTATGGAGTTTGTCAGGAATGCTAACATTAAATAGGCCTTTGTTATGTTGACCATTTGTTATAATAAATTTATATCTTACTAATAAACAATTCGGTTTTTCCTCGAATGTATGCCAAAACTATCATAAATTAAAATTTAATTTTATATTACTGTTTATTATATTTTTAAAATTTTTGCTGCCCAATTGTCTACATAAAAGTCAAACTGAAATGTTGGAATCTTACCAAAAGACAATTAAAAATCGTTTGTCCATTCAATATAAATTCAATTATATTATTCTAACGGTCAGACAAAAAAACTATTATTAATTATTAATTAAATAAAAATACTTTTATTAATTTGCATTCAATGTAATTATGTTTTTTAAATGTCTACTGACAGGAAAATATAAACGCCTTAGTTTTGGTAAAAATAATTAAATTATATGTAAAAACTATCGAATTTTATTCGAATAATAATGTTTATTATTATTTTAATGATAAAATAAAAATAATAATTACTCGAACAACGTTTTAGATAAAATTTGCCATTAGTCAGCTTTAATAATACGGAAATATTTTAAGACTTTCAAGGTTTAATTTCGATCATTTCGTCTAAGTGCATTAGGCAATAACGATTGCATTAACATCTCAACGTAATCAACAACCGATCATTAATTGAGGACCTTAAATAATTTTTTCATCGCGTGTCAAACAAACTTCTATCTTAATTCTTTTATGATGCTTCCGAGTATAAAGTTTGCCAACCGTGCCTCACATTCTTGCCAAGTTCGGGATTAATATGGATAAACTTTTATCCTTATAAAAATAAAATTTTTAACTTAACCAAAATAAAAACAAAAATGATGAAATCGCTTACAAGCCAAAGATCTTAAAATTAAAATAATAATAAATAAAATAAGGAAGTACTCTTCTGGATCCGACACTAAACAATCAATTTTATAATTATAAAATNGGTTTTTAATGAAATATTCAACTACATCCTGGGTATTTTTATTGTCTAGAAATGTTAACATAAAATTTCCACTGTTTATTTTGTTTATTTTTTGATCTATCTGATGATTGGACAATTATACTTATTTTTTGAACATGTGTAATATACATTCAATATACATTATATATTGAAATATATATAAAAATTAATATAGAATCTAAAATAAAAATAATAATTACTCGAACAACGTTTTAGATAAAATTTGCCATTAGTCAGCTTTAATAATACGGAAATATTTTAAGACTTTCAAGGTTTAATTTCGATCATTTCGTCTAAGTGCATTAGGCAATAACGATTGCATTAACATCTCAACGTAATCAACAACCGATCATTAATTGAGGACCTTAAATAATTTTTTCATCGCGTGTCAAACAAACTTCTATCTTAATTCTTTTATGATGCTTCCGAGTATAAAGTTTGCCAACCGTGCCTCACATTCTTGCCAAGTTCGGGATTAATATGGATAAACTTTTATCCTTATAAAAATAAAATTTTTAACTTAACCAAAATAAAAACAAAAATGATGAAATCGCTTACAAGCCAAAGATCTTAAAATTAAAATAATAATAAATAAAATAAGGAAGTACTCTTCTGGATCCGACACTAAACAATCAATTTTATAATTATAAAATACATATACGCGACATTAGAGCTTTCACTCTATTAATTAAAACCCAGAAAAACATCTGTTTGGTAGTTATTTTATGAGGAAAATGTGTTTTTTTTTTTTTTTTTTATAAGGAAAAGTCTCAGAATAAAATTAATTCCATTTATAAAACAGAAAATGGAATGGACAGTCTTCAAAATAGATTTACGAAATTTAATTATATATTGTCAGTTAATATGTTAATACAGTTTCAATTCAGTTTGTATAAGAGAGTTATTTCTGACAGAAGCAGATTAATGTAACCCTGGCGTAGATGTTAAAAGGCGTTTCGGACAATTTGTATCCAGATAACGACTTATAATAGGATAGAATTGCCAATACACCACACCCCGAGGCGGTGCAGGTTAACATTTTGTCATGACATCTCCTTCATTTGACATATCGCTAGAAACCTTGAACTGAAGATGATCTTGGGTCGATGTCCCATTGAGCAGGGCGAAAAAAAAAGAATATAGCATACTACAGTGGAGTGAGTAGTTTGGGAGAAATTTCTTGATTGGATGACTTTCCGATTTTAACTAGCGGAAATGACATTTAACGCTCCTTTCATCCCTTATTTTTTATTATATCCGGTTAAATATAAATTTATCTTCCTCCAATTAAATAACTATCCTAAAGAAATAGGAAAATTCCAAACAATAAAGTATCGAAAATGAACTTTTTTTTTCCGCTCGGATAAAATCCAGTTTTCTATCTAGAAGGTGAATAACACAAAGGTTGCATAAAGATGCATCCGATAAGGCGAAGTGGCAGAATAAAAATTGAAACCGATTGTTCATTATGCGAATATCCTATGCTTCAGTGAACTATAGACACAACATAATATCGATGCTGATAAAACTTTCTGATTGAATGAATTGTTTAAAACACAACAATCTACACCGAAAAATAATAATTAAATTTTCTAGATTAATATTTCTTTAAGGAGGAAAAAAAAAGAAAGAAATTCTAAAGATTAATGTGATTAAATTCGTTTACGAAAACTTCGCATTTTCTTACAATTAAAAGAACGTTGAAATACTTTAAAGTATATAAAATGAACAATGAAATATACTTAAACTATTTAACCTCGAAATATTTTAATAATTTGCAGCGCATTCTTATAAGACGTTATTAATTCTGAATTAGTAACCGAAACGGAAATATGTGATATATTCGGGTGTAATTTTCTAGAAATTGCGATTAGTTGAATTTCTATAGCATTAGAGACGAATCAAGGACAATTCTCCGGCATTCTTTTGTTTCGATCAGATGGCAAAACATGACACTTACCTATTGAATTACTTAAACATCATCAACAATGCCTAATAATGGAGCTGACCTTGTCTGTTGTCGATAAAGTGTGTCGTGGCCCGTGGGCCAACCTTTATCTCGTTGTACTAATTGCCTAGTTTGGTTGGCCCTTCTCAGAAAATCGCATTCATTCCTTTATTATAAAATTACTTTCGCCGATCTACGGGTTGGAACTATCTTATTATAGCGTTAAGGTAATGAATTTTAATTCAATTTTGTTAACTGTTTTTGGATAGAAACAGTATTAAAAATAAACTAGAGAAAAATGGACTCAAAAAATATGAAAATCAAAATCAAAAATATTAAAAGCATTTAATGTATTTCGTATAACAGTTACGATCGGAATGCGATGTGAAATCAAAAAAGTAAAGAAAAAAACTCATATTACAATACCTTAACAAAAGAAATCGGCGTTTAAAAAAAAAAAAACTGTTAATTGAAGTTGTAGAATCCATTTTCACTTAATTTCCATATTGCTTCTTTAATTAGAGGTTATAAAAAGTTTAAAATTACATTAAGACTTTTTATTCTTTGTCAGATATTTGCCATTAAATGTACTGTTTCCCTTAGCCATAAAATAAAGAGTTTGATTTTCTTTCGGGATTTTTTAAAATTCTTATTTTTAGTGCTGAAACTTCGAATAGTTAAAATTTTCAAAATTTTGGAATTTTTTCCATTAATAATGATATCAAAATTCTCAACGAAAACTATGAATGAATCACGATATGCTTAAGGTTGAATTGAAGCAGTCAGCTGAATCGCATCAATAATGAATCAGAAGTTGGCAATAGTATTTTCAGC